TGTAACTTAGCTTTCTGTCTTATAGTAAATCAAGCTAAATTACAAAATATTCTATTCTATACATTCTGTCTTTTAGTAAATCATGTATAGAATAGAATATTTTGTTTTAGAAAAATGATGCAAATGGGTCAAATTCTTAAGGAACAAATACTAAAGTAATGGGTTGACTTACTTTGATGGGTTGAGTTACAAGAATAGATGTAAAAAAGGAGATTAATAGAGAAGTGACCCATTTACGGGTCTTCTCATCCCCAAACTGGACTCCGTAGCCCCACAAGAAAAACACGGATACGGCAATGGTTGAGAGAGAAACGAACCACGCAAGATATAGACACCACCATGGAAATAAAAACTTCTTCTTTTTCTTCTTCTTCTTCTCCGTGTCATCTTCTCGATCGTTGTCCTTTCTTGGTTTCGTTGTGTCCGAAATGAGAGTGGAAGTTGATGTCGAAGTTCCAGGTCGAACGGACCCAGTGCTTGTTGAATCTTCGTTGTCAGTTCTTCCAGCTTCAAGATACAATATATATATATACATTGATACTGAGTGGACACTACTAACTTAAGAAAGAATAAACCTCGTACCGGTGTGTTAACATAACCATCACGTCATCAGAGGCAAATTTGAAAGCGCGAGTTAACTTTTAATGGAGACAGAAATAAGAAGGAGACAAAATGAGGAAGTAAGTTGTTGTCCTGGTAAGGTCAATTAGGATTACTAATTTCTTACCGGGATCATCCAGTGGTACTCTAAAGTCTAAAAGACGTATATTAAACGTGCGACACCTAGTGGCATATATTTTATACAAAAATGTGTGTAAGAGACAGAATGGATTACGTAGTAGTAAATGTAACTTGTTACTATGGAAACACCAATTCCGTGTTAAGCTATTTGTAGTTAGTTACCATGGATAACGGTAATGTTGTGTTAAACTACTTGTAGTTAGTAACCATGGATAACGGTAATGCTGTGTTAAGCTACTTGTAATTAGTAACCATGGATAACACCAATTCCGTGTTAAGCTACTTGTAATTACTTATCATGGATAACACCAATTCTGTATTAAGCTACTTGTAATTACTTACCATGGATAACGGTAATGTTGTGTTAAGCTACTTGTAGTTAGTTACCATGGATAACACCAATTCTGTATTAAGCTACTTGTAATTACTTATCATGGATAACGGTAATGCTGTGTAGTGTTAAAACATTTGGAAACAACGAGATTAAACACTGAATCAGTCACTTTCTTTATTAACCACTTTTAACTGGGTACTTTATTGAAGATTTAACCACGTACTTTCTTAGACATCTGATTGGTTACTTTATTAATCGCCTTACCAGGGTCTTTAATTTTATTAAATATTTATAATGTTTCCTTACCCTTTTTTTTTGCTTGATTCATTTTTCTAACATTATTCATTGTATCTTTATATAATAATTCTTCTAAAGATTGTTCAGTTTGTTCGTTTCTGTGTAATTCCGAAACGTTGCCGTTGCTCTATTATTTATTATCAGAAGCAGGACGTACATAAAGACGACATATTTGATTATTGTAAAGATGATTCCTTATGATTTGACAGTTTTACATATGTTACAATTAAATCCGAGTTTAATATTTCTCAAAAGGTGTAACTTACATTGTTTTTTTAACGCTTCCGTGACGCGAGACGGACGAAGTTTCCGTAATTTTGATTTCCTGAAGAGAGTGATCATCAGAAACGTTGGAGGAAAGACAATCAAGTTCGCCATTACTCCAACTCCGATCTGTGAAGATGGTAGTAGTTCAATAATTTTAGATTGAATATTGTATTGGGTAAAAAACTTTCAATAAATAGATCAAACGAATCAAGAAATAAATCATTACAATAACAAACAAATCAAGAAACAAATCATTACAATAACAAACAAATCAAGAAATAAATCATTACAATAACAAACATATCAAAAATTAAATCATTACAATAACAAACAAATCAAGAATTAAATCATTACAATAACAAACGAATCAAGAAATAAATCATTACAATAACAAACAAATCAATAATTAAATCATTACAATAACAAACGAATCAAGAAATAAATTATTACAATAACAAACAAATCAAGAAATAAATTATTACAATAACAAACAAA